CGGATTCCATACCTAGCTAGTATGGTCTATGTCGGTTATGCCTATTCCCATCATGTGGGATGCGCACTCTAGTTATTGGATAGGTTCTACAACGTGTAGGTAGTAGTATGGGATGCTATCTACACATGGCAAGAGTAGGCTTTGAAGATACTAAAGTGAGTTCCCTAAGTCTAACGACTATTATGTGAAAGTCCCCTTATGTGCTTGAATGTCTCCAAAAATGGTTTCTTAAAGAATGTTGGTCTATTGATGTTATATTGTAATGGTAAATTTCCTTATCTATGGTAACCCTTAGGAACACTTAGGTGTATATGAAGAGATTGTATAGGCGGTCACTTCATGTTTCACTTAAGTGTGGCTTTGGGTAACTTGAGATAGAGGTCAAGAAATGATGAAAAGGCTTACTTGTCAATTATGTTCATGTGTTGTACATTGGTACTAGTTGTGCATGATGGCTTGTGATATGAAGCATGATAAGTGGTAAGTTCACATTTGGTGGCCTTAGGATGATGCTTTAGTGTGGATGGTGGTATGGGACGCTATCCATACATTGCACAAAGTGTTGTCCAAGGGTTACTTGAGGTGGATGGTTTAAGGTGAAGGAATGGGTTATGTGTGGAGTATGTGCTAAAGTGGTTAATGACTTGTATGTTGGTTATGGTTGGATATTGTGACTCTTATACTTGTATTTTTTTTCATGAAGTTTTACCAAATGGCATAAAAGCTTGTTTCTCCAATAAACGTCCCTTTTAGCATGTTTTTGCATGACTTCCATACTTAGTACTTAATTGTGCTAACCCCTTTCTTTCCCTTTTTGACTAAAGTGTAGGGATTAGGAGATGGTGACATGTCATGGCTATTTGATAGGTTTCTAAGTGTCGAAGATGAAGACTTGGTGAGTCCTCATATATTCGAGGACAATACCCCATATGTTCTTTTATGTCTTTTTAGTATTGTTTAAGTTGTGTATGGGATTGGTCCCGAATTTTGTACTCTAAAGTATTAGATGGTTTTGAGACATCATGTATAAAGTCTAGAAAGTCTTCCGCTTGCTATTGTTTTTCTTTTTATGAAATGTTTTCTTGGTAAAGAAAGTTTTTAATTCCTTATGGTTTTAGTGTCTATGCGATGAATGAATTGCTAAGAGGCTTGTACTAGGTCTCTTCGGGGTCGAGTACGCCGATTACGACTAGGGGGTGATCCCGGGTCGTGACACTTATAAACCTATGGGGGCACATAGTTCTGGGACTATGAGGGTATGCTTAACCCTAGTCCAACTCGGTGCTAAGCCTACTCCTAACTGGAAATGTGTATGACACAACATCACTGAAATACTGGATTAGCTCAATATTCTGACATGCTGACTGAGAATGCAACATTTATGTACTGATCATGAAACATTCGAAATTTGAGTAATTCATGAACTAAAGGAATCTACACAACTAGGGTTCTGAGTTTCATGCAAAGAACTAAGCAACGTTTCACGAAAACAAAATAATCTGAGTAAGAACACTGTAACAACTAAATCACAACTAATATCTAAGGTTTTAGAAACCCTAGGTCTAAGCAAGATATATAAAATCAAGGATCTGATTAAATTCTAGGGACCTAATGGATGAAAGGAACCCACTAGTGAAATCCCACATACCTGGTGATGAAATCTAAGGAGAAATCCTTCGATTTTGATGCTGGAACTGAAGAAAACTTGTTGCGTGTTCTTGAGGGGGCTGGTAAACTCTTTCTACTTTTTGCTCGAAGTTTGATGATTTTTTGGTGAATGAATTGATTAGGGTAGGTTCTGATTATAACACTAGGCTTAAACTGACCAAAACGACGTAGTTTAAATGTCCAAAACATAGGGTAAAATACCAAAATGACCCCAAATTCAAATCTGACAGGGGCCTTCCACGAACCCTATGACGGACCGTCAAAGGGACCATGGCCCGTCAAGTCGGTTGTGGTCCCTGGCCAGTGACTACTTGTTTCTGAGGGTCCCTTCACGAGCCCTACCACGACCCGTGTGAAGGACCACGGACCGTGAATGTCACTGTGGTCTTCACTTGGGTTAGGGGTCTGCTAACTCAATTATGACGGACCCCATTACAACCCATCATCAAGACCACGGTCCGTGGAGGGCTCTGCAGTCTGATGCCAGAGCCCGGATGGTCCTGCCCTACCTCCACGAGCCTTCATACGGCTCGTGAGGTGGTCCACGACCTGTAAAGAGATCTGTGGTCCACCATTGCTGGGTGGGTGTGAGCCATGAGCATGTCGATGGACCGTGGTTCCTTTCACGGTCCGTGAACCCTGTCGTGGTTCACCAATTTTTTTCCTGCTGGTCTGGTCTTCTAAGTCTGAAGTGTTACAATATCTCCCCCTTAGGAACATTCTTTCTCGAATGAAGTCTAAACTAGCTGAGTATGGAGGGAAGGAGCTGTAATCCATACCACTAAGTACTAGAAACTGGTATCTGACTTAACTGAGTTACAAGAACATGCAGATATGCTGAAAATGCAAGAACACTGTAGGAACATGATACTAAGGCTGAATTTACACAAGAGTAAGCTTCGGGACTGGACATGAATTATTACCTGAAGCTGAAACGAAATCGAAAGGAAAGAGATGAGGATACTTGGTCTTCATGGTTGCTTCTGCTTCACAAGTAGCTCCCTTTACAGACTGACTGACTCCTCCACAAAACCTTCACTAAAGCGACTTCTTTATTTCTCAACCTTCGAACCTGATGATCAAGAATTTCAACCGGCACCTCTTCATAAGTGAGACTATCCTTCACAACCACACTTTATAATGGTACAATTGATGATAGATCACCCACACACTTCTTCAACAAGGAAATGTGAAAGACTGGATGGACTACTACTAGTTCTGCTAGCAACTTCAACTCATAAGCCACATTACCAACCCTTTTTTAGGATTCTGTAAGGACCTACATATCTAGGACTGAGTTTCTCTTTCTTTCCAAATCTCATCACCTCCTTCATAGGTGACACCTTCAGGAAAACCCAATCATCGATCTCAAACTCTGAGTCCCTTCTCCTCACATTTGCATAGGACTTCTTATGACTCTGGGCTATATTAAGTCTATCTCTGATAAGCTGAACTTTTTCCATGGCTTCATGAACTGAATTTGGCCCAATCAAGGCTGCTTCACCTACTTCAGACCAACCTACTTGAGACCTGCATCTACGCCCATATAATGCCTCATAAGAGGCCAACTGAATACTGGAATGATAGTTATTGTTGTAGGAGAACTCTATAAGAGATAGGTGATCATCCTAACTGCCCTTGAAATTAATCACGCAAGCTCTCAAGATGTCCTCTAAGGTCTGAATGGTATGCTCCACCTGACCATTCTTCTGTGGATGAAATGTTGTGCTGAGATTCACTTGAGTACCAAGACCTTTCTGAAAATATTTCCAGAAATGAGAGGTAAACTAAGGTCGTTTATCTGAAATTATGGACAAGGGAACCCTGGGCAACCTGACTATCTCATGGATATAGAGTTTGGCATAGTCCTCCACCGAATATGTAGTTTTGACAACCAAAAAGTAAGCGAACTTAGTAACTCTATCTACTATAACCCAAATGGAATCATGATGTCTGCGAGTACGAGGTAAATGCGTAATGAAGTCCATGTTTATAACTTCCCACTTCCATGTAGGAATGTTAATCTCTTGAGTCACACCTCTTTGTTTCTGATGTTCTACCTTAACTTATTGACAATTAGGGCACTTAGCTACAAAGTGTTTTATATCCCTCTTCATGCCGTTCCACCAAAATACTTCCTGCAGATCACGACACATCTTAGTGGCACCTGGATGGATAGAATACCTGGAGTTATGGGCTTCTGTAAGGATCTGATGCCTCAACTCACCCCCCTTAGGAACACATAAGTGACCCTCGTAAGGAAGCACACCATCTTCCCCTTCGAAGAAAACCTCAACTTTCTGCTGATGAACTGCACCTTTCAACTGAAGCAATATAGGATCACTATCTTGTTTTTCCTTAACCTCCGCTACCAATGAAGATTCAGATCTATTCTGAACTATCACACTGCCATCTGGCATGTCCATAAGACCAACTCCTAAGTGAGTAAGCCGGTGAACATATTTTGATAAATCCTTCCTTTCTTCCTCAATATGTGTTACACTACCCATAGACAGTCTACTAAGAGCATTAGCTACTACATTGGCCTTACTCGGATGATAAAGCACATTCATATCATAGTCTTTGAGGAATTCAAGCCATCTTCTCTGAAAGGGAAACTTAGTCCCCGTTATGTTGGTCCTTATCAAGTATTGAGGCGGCTAGGCAAGGTGGCTTATGAATTAGACTTGCCTTCTGATTTATCGTTAGTGCATCCGATGTTCCATGTGTCCTTATTGAAGAAGTGTATTGGTGAACTGATATCTATTGTACCATTAGAGAGTCATGGTATTAAGGAAAGCCTTTCTTATTAAGAAGTTCTGGTTGGGATTTTGAACCGGCAATTTAGAAAGTTGAGGAACAAGGAAGTTGCATCCATAAAGGTGTTGTGGAGGAATCAATTGGTTGAGTGTACCACTTGGGAGGCCGAGATCGATATGATGTCCCGATATCCTCATCTTTTTCCCTTCAATCCTATTCTAGCTTGACTAACTTTAAAGAGGCTAAATGCATCGATATCAGTTGTATAACAGCATATATGCACAAACACTAACATGATTACTTTGATTTTCATTTTTCAGATACTGCTATAAAGATTAACTTGGTTTATACTAGAAAATGAATCTCACAAAGCAAATTTGAGAGAAGGAGAGGGAACAAACCACGAATTGCTGGTGGATACAATCATTGGTAAGACCATTATCAAGGACAGCTTTCGAGAAATCTTGTTGGCTAGAAGAACCACTCTCTTTATTTTTCCTTCTTTCTTCAAGAATCGGTTCCCAGTTGGAACGAATCTTTGTCATTACATATCTAGCTCTTTTTCGCAGACCTTAAAGATCTAATTTACCTAAAACTGGATAAAAATCAGCTACATTTGGAGCTGAGACTACTTCCATTAATCCCCTTATTAGATTTTTAATCCCACCATCTTCTATTTCTTTCTCAAAATTAACCATATCTTTACATATTAGAACAATACTCAACATGTTCAAAACAGTTGCAAAGACTAGCTCTCCAATATTCACTACTTGACCTTCTTTTGACCTCAAGAATTCTACCAATTCCATCACTTTTTTCTCCCTCATATAAGCTTGAGACTCTAATACTTTGCCTGAAAAAAGCTCAGTTCTGCATAAAGTCCTCAAGTATCTCCATTCATTGTGACATTCAGAAGTCCATCCCATTGGAATCTTGTCAAGATCTGATCTTTTTGCTGGAATAGCATTTGGAACATGTCTCCCTGATAGAATTCTATCATGGGTTTTGAGGATTTCTATAGCAGCAGATGATGATGATCCAACAACTAGACATTGAGTTCCAAGCCTTAGGGACATTCTTGAGTATTCAGGTGTCTTAGTCATTCTCATGTTTCCTTATGCATACATGTATGTTTTATGAAATGATGTTTGAGTATGTTTTAGCTTGGAGTCGATTTCCTCTTTGATTGTATGCATTTATGTGATCACATTCATGTTGGGTTGTTAGATCAGTTCCTCTACCCTCTTTATGTTGCCTTCAGTCCCATTCGAGGATGAATGTTCCCAAAGGGGGAGATATTGTAACACCTCAGATTTCAAAAAGGGAATAGGTTGCATGAATTTTGGATACTGGTTCAAGTCTATGAGACCATGCTACGAGGACAGTCTACGATTCATAGAAATTTCTATGGGTCATTGAACAATCTCGTAGGAATGGGAAAATAATTTTCTGAAAATAAACTTTCAGTTCCTCATTACACAGATGACAAGTACGGTTCGTCAAGTGATCTACAAGTCGTAGATGGGTTTCGTAGAAGCAATCCATACTTAGTAAAATATTTGGGGTTAAGGTAAGTTCTACGGTTAGGGTCTACAGACCGTAGAAGGGTCCCATCAAAGTTAGGTGATTTTAAGGTCTAGTACTTGATCTTTGGTTAACCAGTACGGACTGCAGAAAGTTCTACGGTCCATAGGTTGGACCAATATACTAGTCCAACAGTTAATTCTTAAGGGATTTTGGGTCTTTTCCTAAATATTTTAAAGACTATACTATTTCATTTTAGCCTCTATCCTAAGCCCTATATAAAGACTTTAAGTCCTAAATCTACACACTTTAAACCCATTCTCCATTTTTTCCAAAACAAAACCAAATTTGTTCTCCCAATTCCCTCTCAACCTAAGGAAAAAGAAGAATATAGGGTTAACTCAACGTCTTCAAATCACCATGCATCTTGGGATTTGAGTAGCAAGGTATGTGGGTATTCACCCAAGGATTCCATTCCTCCATGGGGTCCCCAAGGTTTTCAATTTCTCAAATCAATTTCAATTGATCAAATTAAGGTTCTTCCTAGTTCTATATAGGTCTCATTCAATTATCATGTTCATTGTTGTTTGAGTCTCCTATTGCATGATTTAATGTAAATTACATTATATCTAGTTGAATTTATATTAACCCAAGTATGATCCATGGCATTCAATCATGAACTTATGATGAACCCATGAACTATGAATTTTGAAGGATTATGCATGTCTTATGAAAATGATATTTATGATAATAGGGTGATTTTAAATGAAAGTATCAGTGTTGCTGTGAAAGGTTTACTCACATACCAACATGACTATTGTTGTGAAAGGTATTTCTCACATATGGATTAACATTGGTGAAAGGTTTTCTCACCTATGCTTGAACTGTAATTTAAGGAGCTATTATATGTTTTGATCTTTAAGGTGTGGATTGGTATTGATCATTGACTTTCCTATGTTATAATGATATTTGATTTTTATCTATTTCGTTGGAATTTAAACTTAGCACCCATAGGTCGTTGAGGTGGAGGCTCAAATAGGGTAGTCTCTAGTAGCAACCTCTAGTCCCTAACTACGTTCCCCCGTACGAATGTCTTAAATGACCTAACTATTGGATCCACTTTAGCAAAAGATAATTTGTATGGATTCTTCTTTGGCAAGTGGAATCCCCTTCTTTCGGTATGAGGGATATACCAGATTCCATGATATAGATTTCATGGTCTTATTGTCGATTAAAGTGAATATCCCACGAAACGAATATGTTTCTTCAAAAGCTTTCATATGTCTCTTATTTTAAATGTGTTGACCATATCTTATGAAATATATGTTGTTGCTTCCTTAAGCCTTTAAATGCTCAAATGTTGGTCATATCTCACATGTTTAAGCTCTTCATACTATTATGTCAATTTATTCATATTTCCCCATACTTAGTACATTCCATGTACTAATGCATACGTCTTCTTACATTGTCTCATTGTTGTAGGGTTTGACACTCCCAATTCTCATGCTCGTGGCTAGTTTAACATTTTATCAGATTCAACCGTTGGTGAGTCCTCATGTTTCGAGGGTGGAGACACTTTTACTTGCTATATGACTTTCTAGTTTTTTGATGATGTATATGGTGTATGTGTTACATCTCAACCACTTCTTTTGATGTTTTAGATGCCTTGTTGAGATTATGTTAGACTTTCACTTTTTCAAACTCTTTGGAATTTGGAATCTTTGTTTCTATTTTGTTGTTTGATATATGCTAAGTGGATTGTGTAGGGTATTTTGGGGTTCTATATGCCATCTTACACCTAGGGTATACTTTGGGTCATGACAAAAAAATGTAAATAACACTAGAAGAACCAAGTCACCAACCAAAGTCCAAAACAAATGTGCGACTGAGAGATGCTTGAGAACTGGAAATTGTTATTCTAGATGTATTTCAGTTTTCGGTATTTATAACTTAGGAATTCAATTTATTTTTTGTGTTAAAGGAAGCAAAAGTTGATAGAACTATTTCATTATTTAGAGAAGAGAGACAAAGAGAGTAAGAGAAGTCAGCATATAGTGAGACTTATACCTTACCTACCTTTACGACTGAGAGACGCCTTACACCATCGGAGAGAAGTCACGTCGACGACCGCAAAGAAGATTGAGATTTAGGAAGACTGTTATGGAGTGGCTGTGACTCTACTTTGTAGTGTACAAATGTATGGTTTCCTTTTATTTTGAATGCTAGGGCTCCAAAGACCAAAGTCCAAATTTTGAAATTCGGTCATGGCTATTGGGTGGGTTAAAAGTTAAAACTTAAAATTTAAAATATATAACTAATAAATTTTAAAATATATAACTAATAAAATTTAAAATATTATTTTAAATTTAGTTAGTAAAATTTTGGTTTTTTGGTGCACCAAATTTTTTGACCCTTACATCAAATACTAAACCGAAAAATTGAAATTCCAAAAAAAAACACCGAAATCAAAAAAAAATGAAACTGAAAAACCAAATTAATTTGGTTCTGTTCGGTTTTTTGGTATTTATACCCCCCACTAACAGGAACCAATAGAACATGAAGTTAACACATTTTATAGAGAGTTAGTGGGACAGGCTGCTCAAAATCTACCTAGTGTAAGTCCTACTATAATGAAGAATGCAAACAGTCTCCATAAGGGACAACAAGTACAACTAGCAACAACAGTAACAAGGGAGGAAGTGATAACTGCACTAAAAGGCATAAATGACATGAAGGCCCCATGACATAATGGATTCAATGCTTTCTTTTTTAAGAGAGCTTGGTCAATAGTAGGAGAAGATATTATAAGTGTTGTATTATTATTATTCTTTGAGACAAGGGATATGTATCCACCAATCAACTATACATCAGTAACAGTTATACCAAAGGTGAATAATCCTATAAGAATTGGGGAATTTAGACCTATATCATATTGCACAACAATATACAAAACTATCTCTAAAGTGATCACAACTAGGCATTAGAAGGTGATGAATTCAATAGTTGAGCCAAACCACTCAATATTTATCTCAGGGAGAAAAATTAATGACAATATCATCTTAAGTCATGAGCTAGTAAAGGGCTATGGCAGGAAAGGCATTTCTACAAGGTGTATGGTTAAGGTGGATATGAAGAAATCTTATTATTCCCTTGAATGGAGTTTCTTGTAGTAAGTCTTATATAAGATGAAGTTTACTGTAAAATGATCAACTAGATTATGAAGTGTGTTACCATTGTATCCTATTCATTTCATGTCACGCCCCGAGGCTACCCCCGTTGACATAATCATGGGACCTAGGATCACGAGTGAACCCAAGCTAACCTTGAGCTGGTATATCATAAGCATACAAAAACAACTGAACTAAAGATACGATGCGAAAGCTTAAAACATGAGATAACCTGAAATGATGGAGATACCCAATATAAGTCTAAATATATAAATATTGAGTAAGAGTTTAAGATACTGAACTAAAACTCAAATACTAAAGTTGAATCTTTCTATGTCTGAAATAAGCCTCTACTGACTAGAGATGTTGGGACATGCCCCTAGCTAACTCTAGTAAAACTGAAACTAAAATGAAAGACTGAAAATATAAAGAACATGTCTATCGTCCTCAAAGAATGAGGACTCACCACTGATACTGCTGAATACGGATCGAGAACTGATCTACACGTGATCTGAATGCTGAGGACATGAACTTACATCGATAAAAGATGTAGTGTAGAGTATGAGTCAGTACTTGAAAGGTACTAAGCACGCAGGATAGGATAAAGCTGGACAAACATATAACCAAACAAAGCATACTGAGCAATGATATAATATGAACATGATAAAGATACTTAGATATATTGATTAAGAACTAAATTGAATGCAATTACCAAGTACATAACATGTTGAAGCTGAATACTGAAATATAACTGGGAACCTAGTCAATGCACTAAAATCTAACTATGGGAGGTACTATTAACCGATATAAAACCGCATAAGCTAAATGTGGAGTCCGATGTATACGCCCCATCGAGAGGACACAATATACCTTGCCAAGGGTATAGAGGCATGACTGGCGTGATCACTAAATATGTTTCCCATAGAGGGGACATATAAACCTATGGGGGCACGTAGTTCTGGGACTATGAGGGTGACTGACCCTAGTCTAACTCGGTGTTAAGCCTACTCCCAACTGGAAATGTGTACAATACAATATAACTAAAAAATACTGAATAGCTCGATATTCTGACATACTAACTGAAAATGCAACATCAAATACCGATAATGAAACATTTGAAAACTGAGGCATGTATATCTGTTTATCTGTCCTAGCTAGTGTAATTCATGACCTTAACCAATCTACACAACTAAGGTTCTGAATTGCATACAAGGGACTAAGCAACAGTGTTACAACAACATGCAAATCTGATTAGGAATATTCTATCAGCTAAATCACAACAATTTCTAAAGTTCAAGAAACCCTAGGTCTATATAATATTAAGGAAATCAAGAATCTAATTGAATTATAGAGACCTAGTGGAAGAAAGGAATCCACCAGTGAAATCCCACATACCTGGTGACGAATTCCACAGAGAA